GTTGTTGCATTAATTCAAATGATGGACAGCACCAGGTTTTTGCTCATATGCATTTCAAGTCCCACTGGAAAGGCGTTCTGACTCCATGGTTTAGCAGTTGCTCGATGGAATCAGATCACTTCATCAGAAGTTACAGATGTTTTTTTTGTCTTCAATTATAAACAATCTCTACAGTTTACATGCCGACATCTGCTGGCTACAGCTGTCAAAAAGTCAGCTGTGCAGCATTTTTCACATACTGCTCCCAGAGATGAGGGTCAAATCTAAATCTCTTATAGTAGACAGATGTATATTCTCCCACAGTATATACCATCATATTGCCAGACCCCCAAAATCCAACTATGTCATTTCGTTTCTACCCAACACGGCAGCGGATTAGTCAGCTCCAGGTTAACCAAGGGTCACAACAGCTATGATGAACTAGAAACAATAGCGTTAATGTAATGCAGACTTATAGTTATCTGGCACTGAATGCCTCATGTTTACATCTGAAATGATCTACAGAATGTAATCTGATATGTCGCTATATTGTAAATTTGACAGCAGTGATTGGACCATGGGGATTTGGGCTGCACTGATAAGGAGTTGCACAGTGATTGCAGTATCAGGCGCCTCTGGGGGGGAAATGTTTTGCATAAGAATGCAATCGTTTTTGATAGAAGGCAAAATAAAAGTATGACAAGAGAATGCAAAAGTTATTTTCACAATTTCCCTCCTATAGCCCTTAAGGGACGTCATAAAACACAGACAGTATTGCAAAGTGTAGTAGGTGTATGTGAACAATATTGCAAGCCAAGTCAAAAAAGATGCCACTGTGGCGTCTTCTGAACTGAGCTGAAAACTTCACTTTATGTAGCAGGGTTTTCGAGGGTGACGGGAAACGATCACATTTCTCGGTAAATTTGCTTCACAACCATTTAGTCTGCATTGTTGTGTACGCCGTCTACAACTCTCAGTCACTACAATTTTAACTGTTGGTTACCTGGATCCGTTATTTGATCTTTTGACTAACCAGGTTACTTGTTTTTAACTCTTATGACTCCCTGAAACATGTATTACCATTAAATGTATGAAGCTTTTCAATTTTCAGTGTGAAATAGCTTCTTTCCACAGGTTGACTGATTCAAACCACCCACACGAGCACTGTAGGAAGAAGACTTAATATATCCAGTCAGGATAGTCGGTGCAGGATCTCCTCACATAAAAATGAAGTGGAAGATTTACATTTTAAAATCCTATTCATGATAACGATTACGAGTAATATTGAACAGGTCATTATGAAACTCCAGTCCTATGAGGAATTTAGGGCAAGAGCTCAAATCCCACAGAGGAATTTGAAGCTCATGTGCACCAGGTCTGCACAGGCAGCACATAGAGAATCACTTTACAGAGAATAGAGTAGAAGCTCCCTGAAGATGTCAGGGTCGGGCGTCCATGACATTTTCTGGAGTGGGAAATGCAGTTTCAACTTCACGTGGTGGTCCAAGAACTTTTCAGATCCTTTACTTTAGGAAAGGTAGCAACACAACAGCCCCAAAAAGAGCTGGATTACATGTATGACATTCCAACTTTTACACTGTGATGACTGAAAACCAGACCGACTCAGAGTCGTCTTAAACTCAGCCCTCAGATACCACTGGCTAAATACTGCATGATAACATACACAGGGCGGCCCGAGCATCCCATTGTCTGACGCAGCTGTTACAACATACCCTCAGACTTAGCTCTCGCCTACAGTCAGCTAGTAGCAGCCTCAAACTCCAGTCAACACGAGAACTAATTAACTAAAGCAAAACAGTTGAAAATGTGGCTGTACATCACGTGAAAGGATTCTGACCCCCGTAGGGAGGGATGCTGCTGGTTTGGCTGCTTGTGTGACCCCGTGTGGAGAACATGAGCCGGCAGTGTGGCCGTCCCTGGCCCCTGTGATGGATGTCGAGTTTGGTGCTGAACTATTTTACTGTAATTATCAATGAAACTGTGATTTAGTGTAATGGAGTTGGGTTTGGTTTTATTATTATGCGATGTAGTCATGTCATATTTATTAAGAGTTGTGCACTTATTACAATTAAGTGTAGTTTAAATTGTTGGATTTAAGATTGTATGTGTAATTTTAACTTCCAATTTGCCTTAGCAATGAAAGAAGCTGTTTTTATCATCAACTGTCTGTCTGTGTTTTGGAAGATAAGGGTATCAGTACTGGCTCCGGAACCGTTTTATAAGTATTGATTTAGCCTCTGTACAGGAAGAGGCCCAAAGATTACCCCACTGAAAAACTGTGGCAAAGGCTGGACACACCAAATACAAATATTCATTTTACCTCCTCTCATGTTTACTGCAGGTTTGAGGATGTTAATTGATAAATAAAAACAATTTCTACCACTATAACATCCTCTCAACTTCTGCACATGAGCACATCAAGTATGTAACCAGAGCGTTGGCGTCCTACATCCGTCATGAAAAGACAGTAACCAGAGTTTTATAAATAGTCTGGTACTGGTACAGTTTACACACATTCATTCAGTGCATCTGGGGGAACTATTTGGTTTCTCTACACTGTGTCTTGACCTTGTTATGTGATGATTTGGTGCTTAAAATTGAACTGAAATGAATTCCTCTTACTTTAGTTCCTTCATTTTATGCCATGGACTTTGTGAAGCACTTTGTGACCTTGTATAGATAAGTTAGCAGCAGTAAGTGTAAATGTAAATACAAACAGATTTATGAACAAATAAAACTGATATGATCACTTTCTGATCTGCCACGTGCTCAGTGTTGACATTAGTCTGCAGGTACGATGTGTATAAGAGCTGAACGAAGCCAGAGACAGGGGAAACAAACATGGTTCCACTCACCAGTGAAACAACAGGGAGCAGCAGGTTGCAGCTTCTGTCAGAGGTCAGCTGGGCCTGTGGTCAGACACGTGGTCGAGCTGCTCCTCCAGCGTGTTATCCGAGATGTGATGATGTTATTCCAGGTTAAAACGCAAACGTCATGGCGGGGTGTCGGATGTGTGGGTCCACTGACAGTACGGAGCATCGAGCAGCTAGCCGCCATGACGCCAGCGTGTTCCTCTTCATCCTCCTCTCGTGGACAGCCTCTCACACCTGGACGTGTTCGACCTGAGTGGAGACGTCCTGGGTGTCGGGTTGGTCTGACAGCACCGACCCCGCAGAGCAGCAGCAGCAGCGGGGTGAGGGAGAGGAGAGGCCCGGCCTCACACACCTGCTCCGGGGCTGGAGGCTTCAGGCGGAGACGTTAGCTTCACTTCACGGACACTGATGTAGCTCTGGCCGGGTTCCCTCTGTGGTTCCCTCCGCCCTGTCCTCCCCTGCTTCTTTTTTACACTTGTAGCTAAAACACATTAAAGCCTGTTTTGTGTCTCTGCCGTGTTCCCTGGACACTGGCCCTCCTCAGGACAGACACGTGGACTTGTCCCACGCTCAGGTGCGGAGGATAACTTTAGTGAAGGCTGCGTTCCATTCAGGAGAGTCGGCCCCTGGACTCTGGTGCTGAGCAACCTCACTGCTACGTGGAATGGAGCCATGGTTAAAGGGAAAGTTCACCCCAAAATGAAAATCCACTCATTATCTACTGACCGATGGAGGGGTGGGTGAACTTCGACATTCAAATTCAATTTGAAACAAGGTCATTTACTGTGTTTTTAGCCTGAATGACCACTGACATCCTCACAGGAAGACATACAGACACTTGGATGACACCACAGAGCAGTCTGGAGGCATTTTATTATTATGTTTGTGTATTTCTGCAGTTAAACGTCCTGTTATTGTTGAAGCCAATACATAATTGTAGATTAACCATAACAACGGGTCACGAGTGATGTGAAGCCAGACCAAGGGATTTTGTAAAATTCGCTAAGAAGATCTTTAATATTGTGAAGTCAGACCACAAGGAAAAAGGTGTCATCAATGTTAATACTTTGTTTATTGAGTTTAAACCTGTCAATTATTATTCCATTTAGGGATTGGGAATAAAACAATATCAATGATTATCGCAATGTGATTTTAATAAAAACATGTCTTTGCTCATGATGAGTTTAAATCAAGATCAATATCAACTGATATGAACATTTATCTAAATTAATATTCATTGACCATTTCATCATATCATTCAGCCCTATGACTCCGTATGGTTTCCATTTTTCCAGATAAATTACACTGTATTTATAAGTGTCGGTGTGTTTGCATCAGATCGGACAAAGCACTTGACAAAATATATCCTGGAGTGATGCAGCTTTCAAGAGTTCTCTTCTGTTCAATTCTCTGTGGGTTGTTCAAAGTTATTCTGGGAAAATGAAGAAAGAGGAATCTGTAGTGGAGGTAGATATGGAAAGGTGAGAGGTCTGCCTCTTCAACACAATGAATCAAAATCATCACTAAACACAGCCATACGTAAACTGACATGTGTATGAAAAGGTGAGCGCGTCTCTTCAGGATCCTCTGCGATAACTCAGACTCTGATGTGCATTCACTACGACACTCTAGGGAAAAATAAGATAATTCATCCCAAATACTTTGTTTGGTTTGGAAGCATTTATCTTCCCACAGTGCAGTAAAATCTACTACCACACTTTTTTACGGACTGTTGTTTAAGAAACACAAGAAAAAAACTAATGTTAAATCTGGACTTTTTTTTCTTTTCTTTTAGAAAATAACAGAAGAGCAACCTAATTACTGGAGTTTCAAGAGCACACTGTATATAGCCCTCAAGTCAGTAATGCAGACTATATGGGAAGAAAGTAAACATAATATAATGCCTATAATTATGCACAGCAGCATATTTGAGGATGTTCTAAAACGTGTTTTACATTTTAGAGCAAAAATTAGTCTTAAGGGCTTTCACTATGCAAGTACTAAACCTGATTAGTGCAACACAAATCTACCGTGATAGCAAAACAAGGCATACAAGGAAAGCATGGGTTCAAGTGAGGCGAGAAAGCAGAGCTTCATTCTGCAGCACAGACAAAAAAATGAAGAAAGTTGGTTTAATTTCAATTGTTTATTAGGATATAAAGCGGGCACATGAATATGAGAAACGTGTGCACTAATAAGTCAGCTCTCAATAACAAAAAACAAATCCACAGCAAAGAAGTTTGATGTCACTCCAGATTGAAATCCAAACTCTAATACAGCATAAGGAAAACAAACTGGGAGGAAAAACATACTGGAAACACTCAGTTCTACAGTATAAAAAATCCACCTATCAAATAACCATATACCTGCTCACCCTGCTATAGTTCACAGATGTCAAACGAGCCAAACAAAAGATTCAGCCCCACGTCCGAAGCAGCAGGATTTCAGAGCCTCGCTTGTACAATGCGCAGAAGAGGCAGCACAGTGACCACCCCACAGTTGTTGCCTGAAGTACACAACCCCCAACTTTCTCCTGTTTCATTTTAAAGCTCCAACACCTCGCAACTTGTTTCTAGTTTCTTTTGTTAAGATTGTGCTTGACATAACAAAATCTTGATTAGAGTAAATGTAGGAAGACAAACAAGGAGACTTAAAAGTCATTGAAATCCCCTCTTTTCCTCGACTACCTCCTAACTGTGGAGACAAAACATATTGATCCCTCAAGCTGGTCTCATTCTGAGATTGTGGAAGTGTTTGGTCTCATTGACATTTAATGAAGCTCATCTGCTGTGGGGAGTACCAGCACGTGGTCGAGTCATTGTTTAGTCCACTGGGTTCTCCTTCACTGAGCAGCAATGAGGCTTCTTTACAAAGTTTGGACTGCGTAGATGTGTGTACCCCGAGTTTACGATAGGGGACATGTACCAGTCCTGTAGCAAAACAGAAGGCAGAGAAGACCTTTGGTTTGCTGCATCATGTGAACATAAAAAAAAAAACATCAAGAAAAATGAATGTGAGATGCTTAAATTAAAAAAAAAACAACATTATCAGTCCAAATGTTAACAGGGTGCTTATAAATCATAAATCATGATTTTGAAAATAGTGTTTATAGTCAGTTTAAACTTATGTGACTGTTTATAGTGGCATAACAATGTATACAGTTAGAAAAATGTAAGAAAACATGGAAATATATTGAGTTTGGTTCTTTAAGGTTGAACCAGAACATATTTATATCTATTATTAACCCAGCACATCCATGTGAACTACAATAAGGCAGTTGAGAATTTGCATAGTTGACATCTGCAGTACAGAGGGTATGTTTTGCCTTAATCAAACATTATAGCGTAAAACACCAGAGACCCCATACTATTACTTTAAAACTGGTTAGAACAAAACAATTAAATGCCTCCTGGAATTAATCATGATATCATCTATGAAATCCACACCCTTTCCTCTAATTAACATGAGAGAAAAAGGAAAAATATTTTTAAAAAATGCCTTTGTCCAGTTGATTTCCCTCTGACTGTATTTTCCAGATAAGAGACAATTAATACTACAGACTAGAGCACATCTGAACTTATGGAAGAGAAATGAGGCCGTGTAGGAATATAATTGGTCAAACAAACAAGCCGTCTATAGGAAGATAGAACAAATATGTTAAAACATTTTTTTCTCTTTGAAAGAACGACGAGCTCGATCTCTATATAAACTCACTGGTCGATATTTTGTGTTGTCTGGAATCAAATGCAGACGAGTCTAGATGCTATCCATGGCTTTAAACTCGCTCAGAGCCTGCACAGGGTTGATGTGTTTCTTCTGCGAGGATCTCTTGACTCTGTTGGTCTGGTCATCCTGCTTCTCTCTCTTCACCAGAGGCTTCTTCTCGGGAGCTTTCATCCTCCAGGAGATGGCCGGCATATTGAGGGACTCCATGCCTTTGCTCTTCTGGTACTTAGTGGATGCCACGTAGGAGGCCTTGACGGTGGACACCACTGTGTTCATCAGGTTCTTTGCAGCCTGGATGAGCGACATGGCGCTGTCCAGCTATTGACATGGAAGAGACGTGAGAGAAGAGCGGAGAAACGATTAGCCTTGTGCTGTTTTCTATTTAGCATCATTTTTTAATTCAAGCCGAGTGAAAGTAACCTCGTATCATTTTGCAGGGGAGAACCAAAACTCAAGTGTTTTTGCTGAGGAATTAACAACCTTTCTAAGTTCGCCTGGCATACAAACAGATGTGAGAAATTGGAGAATATGGAAAAGGTCACACTAATTTAATCTGCACAGTGTAATAGCCTCAGAGACACCGGTGACACTTGACTGGACGTTTTGGAAGCATTCGCAGCCCTACAGAGAGGAGGGAGGAATTCATTATTTCCTGCACACACAGGCAATGTATCTGAATTAATCTGACTAGCAAGTGAGTGGTTAATTATTGCTTAAAGGGTTTGTAAACAGTGGCCTTGTACAATGTTATCTTACGGTTAGGAAACAATTGGGCAGCATTACTTCTTTGTAGCAGACGAATCCATTATTTCTGTTATCTGATCATTCGGTAGAAATATAAGCTGCAAATTACAGTGCAGAGAATGAAACATTAACTCATGACAGACAACAGCCAATGCCATTAAGTCTTTAGCATTATTTAGTTCTTTCAGTAACAGCACATAATAAAACTTAAAAAAGTAGCCAGTGCTTTCTATTGATTTTAGAATCTTTATAGTCAGAAATGAAAAGGTAGGATGAGGGAATTTCACTAAAACTAAAAGCAGTTCAGTTTACTGTCATCGTTTCTCACCAAAATACAACATGTTTGTTCTTACGGCTCCAGAAAAGACAACATTGCTTATCTCACTTTAAAGTTTTATTCTCTTTTAGGTGAATGTTTTGAATCCTGCTCTGTTTTCATCATTATTCCTGCTCTTCTTTAACAGCCCTCTGCAGTCATCAAAACAAGTTTAGTGAATCGTTTGATTTAAAACCTCATTTAAACTGCTCAACTACTCTTTAGCTACTGTGTATAATGAAGATCGTCAATTGACGTGTGATGTTTCTGTGGCTGAAGAGTAAACTTACCCCTGACACCACCAGTTCTCCTCCCAGGTTCTGAACCTCGGCCTTGACTTTGCTGCAGATGTTGAGCTGGTGACAGTACAGGGCGATACGCTGCAGGTAGGCCAGCAGGTCCTGCTTGCAGGTAGAGTCGGGGCACTGCAAGAAAGACAACACTTGTCAACTCAAGTACATCAATTAGTGTATAAGCACGAACGGGTTGATTCTAATACTACCTGCTTGTAAGTGGTACAATGAATTAATTTTTGTCACTTATTTATTTGCTGGCACTACTCAATCTGAATATTTATTTGATTCTACAGATGCAACTATCCCGTACTTTATCATGATGAGTTAGTACCAGTGTGACAGGTTGACACCCACATAAGGGACGTGCTCAGAGCCAAAATGACAAATGCACACCCACAACCTGCTAGATTGATAACTCATCTTCACAGGGTTAAGCATGATCAACTTATACAGAATGCTAATTCTATTAAAAACTTCTGTCAGTCATTTGTTTTTAGCAGGTGGAGATAATCCTGTGTGGAGTCTCTTTGGAAGCAAAATTACTGGCTAGGTTCCCTGCTCATAGTTTAAAATGGCATTTAAACTTAAACAGGTTAACGTCTCATCATCAGTGATCTGAATAAGATCATCAGATTATTGATGTCCATCTGAATGAAGTCAGTGACTTGAGTTGTGAAGGTGCAAATAAACTACTCAGGGTTGGAAAACTCACTCCAACCGGCCTCAATAGGTATATATGTATATGTGGTAAAAGTAGATTTTGGGCCATAAGTTAAGAACGATGTTGAAAAGGCCTCTTTGCAATGAGGCATAACAATATTGTCAAGAGTCAGCTAAGAACACAAAACAAAAAAACACTGGAGCCATAAAAATACCATCAACTTCACAAAATCCAATAAATTCTCATAAGACCTTTTTGAAAGTGGCACTATGTGAAGAGCCCCACAAATGCATCTCATTTAGATTTGGCAATCGTTTTGAATTATTTCATCTCATTACAATTAGACTGGGCTCTACTTTGGAACACCACACCAATCCCTCTACTAGTTTGCTAAACAAGTCCCCTGCCAGCATAGTAATTAGGCCTCAATGTTCTTCTTAGCTGCTCTTTAAGCGAGGGATGTAAACACCCTGATGGGGCCCTGACAGTTAACTTGAGATCGTCAGAGTGACCTGACCAAACACAACAGGTTTGTCAATCCTGGACTGAGACTGCTACAGATGATCACAGGCTGGAAGCTTCACATCACTTAACTTACTATACCTGTGAAAACCTTCAGAGTGACCATGTGACGACGTAAGCCAAAAGGAAAAACTGGCATAGACACCAGAATTGGCAGGTGCTTGGCTGTGTGAAGGAGTTGTCCTTTGGAAGATGTTAATTCTGAGTGCATGGAAAAGGTGAAAGGGAGGTAATAGCAGCCAATATTTAATTGATGGAATCTCTACAGGAAGTAGTTGGCAAGATCGGTACTGTGGAACTGAGGTATGCGGTGAGTCAAAAATGAAGAGTTTTTTTTTTTTCCTGGCTGCAAGTGAGGAAATGACACAGAGAGTGGACGGCAGTTTTCTTTTTCCATTTGTCAATAGTGGCAATTACCACAATTAAAGTGCACTAATCCAAAAACAGAGAAGAAATCCAGCTTTTCTTTTCTCTTTTCAAACAGAGGAAGAGGAAACGTATTTGGGATCGTAATTTTTGGACACTTCAAACAGACTAGGACTTATGATGTGTCTAATCCTGCTGAGTCCCTGGTGGGAGTGTGAGCGCTCATCTGAATATAGTACACTCGCTCGCAGACATATAGCCATGCATGCCTGCATCTACACACCACCCCAGCCCGCACAGCCAGCACAGCCATGATTATTCATACACATCGTACATCATGACGGTGGGAGACTTTAGCTGAATAAGGACAAAAACACATTTATCGGCAACACATCCTTTCACCATGCTCAATATAACCCCACTACATACATATACATCTATACATGTTAATACAAATTGGTCACACAACCAAAAGTACACAACTAAACCCATTAAAAATGTCTTTCTTCATTGAGAGCTCTACAGATGTTTTGTGATGATAATAAAATTATTTTGGCATTCTATTAAAAGGAGGTATGCATGTGGTGATGAAGGGAAAGGGAGCTGGAGGGGATGATCATCATACAGGGGAGGACTAATACATGGCTGAGAGGCTGGGGGGGGGGGGGGGGGGGGGGGGGGGGGGGCAAGACGACGAGCGTGTGTCAGAGGTTTGAGCGGCTCTGGCCCGCCCCCCTCCTCCCAGCTCTA